GTTATAGCATTACTGGATCATAGGATTAATCGTCCAGGCCCCCAAATACAACCACTTAACACTGAAAAATATAATATAAAATTGTAAAAGTGCATAAATATCATCTAAATCCCAGAAATAAGAATATCATTAATACTTGTAATAAAAACAATAAATTATTAAAAAAAATTTTTAAATAATGTTTTAGATTGTAGGAGTTTAAGTTAATTATAGCATTCTCAATTTTATAGGTAAACCCGTTAATTATAGGAATAATTAGTAGGATCCTTGTTATAGCATACCCACTGTATATATATATATATATATATATATATATATATATATATATATATATATATATAAAAAATAAATATAATATTATAATATATATATAATTATTAATATATATATATATATATATAATATATATATATATATATATATATATATATATATATATATATATATATATATATATATATATATATATATATATATATATATATATATATATATATATATATATATATATATATATATATACCACAGTATTGCCTCTAACGCGGTTTCACTTACTTAGCGTTTTATCATATCTGACGCCTCGCCAAACTGAACTTTCATAACGGAATTTTTCATCATATACGGGAGCGGCGCGGGCACGATGCTAAGGTCGCCCAGTCATCAAAACATTACCGAGTTCTTCACCCGCCACCCACCACAGCCGGCAAGTCAAGTGATAGTGATAATTATAGTGAGGATATGGACTTATATGGCCTTTGAGGGTTTGCACAAAGCCTGTAGGATAGTGATACAATTGATACAGGATACAGATGAGGGCCAATAATCTGCCCTCTGCTCGAACCAACCCCCATCCCTGCAGTCCAGCCATCTTTTCTACTAATGCAAGTGTTAAAACCTAATATTATTGATATTTCTCTTAATTATTAATTGTGCATACCATCATAAAGTTAAGATAAAATTTTTACTACTACATAGTTAGTGTCGTCAAAAGTGGAGTTTAGGGGGTCGCCAGTCTCTATTGGAATTAATCCCATATGTTCTGTTGTTCACTTAACGCCGGGCTTTCACTTAACGCAGTACCCCGTGGGTTCAATTGACTGCAGTTAAGCGGGTACTACTGTGTGTTATATATATATATATATATATATATATATATATATATATATATATATATATATATATATATATATATATATATATATATATATATATATATATATATTACATTCCAGACCTGACTTACGACGGGTTAGGGACCCAAATCCAGGTCAAGACCGACATATATTTTTTTTTTTTTTTAATAAAAAATCTACAATGAAATACAGTACAGTAAAAGTAATGAATAATGATGAATGGATACAGTACAGTGAAAGTAATAAATAATAAGGAATGGATAGTGTGACTGAGCACTTAACCTTTAATAGTCAGTGAATGCACATAGTCCCCATAATTTTCTTTCTAATTATATGGAGACTACATTAACTGGAAACGTTTCGTATAGAAAATGCGAGTGTCATTTAAATTTTTTTTTTTTTTTTTTCTATCTATATCTGAGGCGGTCGTAAGTCCACGTAAGTCATGTAAGTCGGGTCTAGGTGTATATATATATATATATATATATATATATATATATATATATATATATATATATATATATACACATATATATATATTACAGTGGGTATACTATAACTAATTTAATTGGTTCTAGAACCTTGTTCGTTATAGCATTCGTCGTTATAGGATTAATCCGCTCCAGGCCCCAAAATACAACCACTTAACACTGAAAATATAATATAAAATTGTAAAATTGTAAAAGTGCATAAATATGCATCTAAACCCTGAAATAAAGAATATCATTAATACTTGTAATAAAAAACAATAAATTAGTAAAAAAAATTAAATGTTCAAGTAGGAGTTTAGTTCGTTATAGCATTCTCAATTTATAGATAAAACCGCTTGCTATAGGAATATTCGTAGAGTAGATCCGTTCGTTATAGCATACCCCACTGTATATATATACAGTCAATCCTCGTTAATAGGGGGGAAGGTCCGCTTAGCCGATTGTCCGAATTAACCGATTTAGGTTAATATTGCATTATATTTCAGTCATTGTGTTGGGCCACGATTTTATCCCACTTTCCACTGTAATACGCACGAATATCAGCAAAAATATTACATTTCCTCGAATGTGTTATATCAAGCACAGTATGAATAGAATAATTATTGTAATATAACAGTATTTTAACTGAAAAACTAGTAAAAAACGAATAACATCTCAAGAACATCGAAGCTTAGGTAAAGTCTTTTGTTTTCGCCATGTATTTTATCCTATTTTACATTGAAATACATCACGTTTCAGCAAAACTACTATTTATTCCGAGAATATATTCATTCAGGCGCAGTTTAGGTAAAATATACATGTGATGTAACAGTTTTTTACTGAAAACCATTTGAAAAACACGCATCTCTAGCCCTGTTCAAGGAGAGGACTGGGAGAAGCTGTTTGGTGCTGCAGACCTATGACAAGGAAAATGATTTGGATGGATTTTAATGAAAATATTCAGAAATATGGTATCGTAGTATTTATTCAAGTCAATTAGGATAGAATATTATTGTAATACAACAGTTTTTTAACTGAAAACGATTGAAAAACACGCGGTACCGCTCTAGCTGATACTCAACTGCTGGTGGTAGGCCATGCATCGTTGTAAATAATAAGAGGTTGAAGTAGATTACCGGTATTATATTAAGTGTGAAATATCAAAAAGGTTTTTATTACCGGTATTTTTGTAGATCAATGAGAACTGTGATACCAAGATATGATAAGTTAGTCCTATGCTAAGAACTTCAACATAGACTACTGAAAACAGCATGTAATTTAGCCTATTGTAAGTTGGTGAGCTTCATTTGCTGAAGGAACTGCACAACTTTTCATTACTAATTGGTACATATTTTTACGCTTTCCATTGTTTACTGGCAGTAAATGGTAAATATTTTTCATGTCTGAAGCTAAAAGTTGTATCCCCCCCACACTAGTGGTGGAGATGTTACATTTAACCAAAGACGCTGGTGTTATCCCAGCAGTGGACTAGCATTTTAGCTTAAACCAAGATAGGTAATATTCCTAAAATCTTAAAAAAAAAAAAAAAAAAAGTTCGCTCAGATTTTGTCCGAATTATCAGAAATCCGGATTAAAGGGGTGCGAATTAACGAGGGTCGACTGTATATATATATATATATATATATATATATATATATATATATATATATATATATATATATCTATCTATCTATCTATCTATCTATCTATCTATCTATCTATCTATCTATCTATCTATCTATCTATCTATCTAAGGAAATAATTATCATATGGTCAAAAGTAAAGGGAATAAACATTTCTTACGTGCGTGGTTGTTAGCACACGAATTTAATTTTATTTATTTTTTAATGTTAAAATTTGGAATTTAATCTACCAAATATGGTCTGTGGGTGTAACTGATAATTTATAATGAACAAAATTTAACATTTTCTGATTTTAAGTAAATTTGAAGGTGGTTTGTAGGAAGTGAATGTGATTTACCCTCAGTATGCTGTTATAATAAATAGCATTTTGTAGATTATGGTGTTTTCATGTTACAGGATAGCAGTTTCACCTCCAAGATGGATTTCTACTCTTGGAAAATTTACTAATACTAGAGGTCATGGGTTGCAAATAGGGAGTTGTCGACAGTCTACTGTACATAATTTAAAAGAAATTGATAAGTATCCATGGCAAAGACTGGGATTGTTAGACTATGTGTTGATGGACATGATGTTTGATGTGGCACACAAATTGTCTTCCCTTAACTTTACAAATGTGAGATTAATAGTGAATGGAAGGTTCAGGGGGAAAGAGGTTAAAGAAAGTGAGAAGGTAAAAAATATTGATGAGCTTGGAATAGATAATGTGGATGAACTTTTTTTTTATTATGATTGAGAAACTGTGGACACATGCAAAAGGGTCAAAGGGGGGATGGTTTGAAGAACATTGGGAACATACAAAGATACTGTCTTCAAAGTTGCAGTTGATAGGTGCAGTTACAGTATACTACACAAAAATATTGATCCCTGTAGCATTGTTACATGACTTAACATAAATATATGTTGAGGATAATTAAGCATATAAAACATATGCAAACCTTTACATTATATTTGTTAATATGTGGTCATGTTTTCCTTTGATTTTAACAGCCATTTCAGTGGCAGATCCAGGGGGGGGGGTTCTGGGGGCCTGGAGCCCCTCCTTTTCAACAGAAAATTCAAATATTTTTTCTTGAATGCAGTATTATACTCAGATATTTTTTTAATAGTAAAAGTAGTTACTATTGCCCTCAGAATATCTCCTAATATCAAGTGCCTATGATATTGGTCAGATTTAAAATCATTATAGGGGGATTACAACGCCTCCGTAAAACTCCCCAGTTGGGTGGGCTCGCTGTGCTCACCATGTTCTCTCACCTGCAACTTCTTGGACCCCCCCCCCCCCTTATTATATTTCTGGATCCGCCCCTACATTTGAAGTCAGTTTGGCATGGATTCAGCATATGTTTGTAAATAATGATGACCCATCTTCAATATCTGAATCTGCTTGATCTCATCCTGTTAACAGCTTGTGCATCATCTGGTTCAATACATTCTTTATGAGGTTCACAGGCCACTCCAGCACTTGAACATACTTTCATATGTTTTTTGAATAGTGGTCTATTGGTGGTATGATGAGATGGTATGTTCAGCTCCTTTTACTGTTGTTGTTAATCATTTGTTTTAACATGTCTTATAGGTGGTTGTGGTGAGCTTTCTTCAATTCTGCTGCACTTGTCAGATTCTTCATCACTTCTCATCCCTTAAACATGTCATGATGAGATGGATGTGGCTACTGAGGAGAGTAACTCATCAAATGGATTACTTGTTCATTTCTTATTTGCAGATGCTGATAATAATTTCTATCTTTCTCACAGGTGCGGGACCAGGTGACACCGATTCTCCTCGAGTTGTGTGATCAAGAAAGCCTTCGCGATATTGTAACAGAAGCTGCTGTCAAGTATCTTAAATACCTTTACCTAGAAGTGCCACCTGAGTCCCTGTGCACACACAATTTAGGCAGACCTCATCAACCCAGTGAATGGACAGAAACAACAGTTAAAGCTTGTTTATACCTATATCTTGCTTTACTTCCCCTTAATCAGTCTCTGATTCATGAGTAAGTTTTAAGAATCAGAAGTTAGTGTACTGTATATTAATGTAAAAAAAAATGGTTAATTAGTTCCTTGGTTACCAGTGTTAGCTTACTTGGCAGATTTTGATGTAATTACCAATTCACATCTTGAATACATTTATCTGTTGATCATCTTGAATCGGAAATGGATGGTGTTTTGTAAAAAAAAAAATATTCTTTAGATGAAGAACAGTGTTAAACAAGTGTTTTGCAAAATTTTTAAAATCTTTATAACGTGTAAGAAGTAGGGAAGTAACTTGTGTAACGAGGTCATATTCCTCTACAGCTCTATATTGTAGGAAAACTCGATATATCAACATTTAAGCACAATAATCCCCTGGGTTATGGAAGGGATGTGTCCTTGAGAAGTTGACTGTAATGTGATCCCCATTTTCTCATTTGAGATGTGCTTCTTAAGAAACTTTTTTGGCAAAAGAAGTAATACAAGAACACTTATGAATGAAAATAATAGTTTTTTAAACATATGTTGATTATATTATGATATAATATGATAATACACAAAACACTTGAATTTAACTCGCCACAAACAATGATGAGTGCTGCATGAGGTGATTGGTGCAGTGGGAGGTCTTTGGAGATGTAGCAAGCCCTAATTATTGCAATCTGCCAAAGTTTTTCTCCCACATCAAACTCCATAAAGCATCACGTTTTTTATCCAACGTAATTCCTTTACTGGCTCTTTTAGCACTACTGTTTTTACTTGCAGTTGGTGGCCTCTTTCCACTCATCTTGAATAAGGTTAATACACTGGACAGTTTCGAATAAGTGTGAAATCCAGGAGCTGGGGTCGAGAGATCATATATGCATGCTGGGAGATATAAACAAACTGAGTCCGGTGGCATGGATGCACTGTGTACCCACGCTTGGTGGGAGCAGACACCAAGAAATCCACACCAAATAAATTATAATGTCAAAGAAATTTTATTTTGTTCTATATAAAAATTTTTTTTTTTTTTTTTAATTTACCCTATTTCCATAAGGTTGAATTTATGTGCCATATCCTGAATTTAGTGGTCATAATTTACAAATTCTGTATGGGTGAATTTCCACAACCTGAGCTTCTGTGATATGGGGGACACCTGTACTTTAAAATTCCATATTTATGAAGTGGCTTGGGACTGAATTCATGCCCAGTATACAGTCAGTCCTCGACTTACGACGGGGTTAGGGACTGACGACCAGGTCGGAAGTAGAAAATGTGAAAATATTACATAGTAAATCTAAAATGGGTGTCTCTTTTTCTTCTCAGCACCTCGAGAACTCACTTTTACGCTTGCCAGCCATTTTAAAGGGAATTACAAACAAAAATTTTGTCAGTACACAGCGCAATCACTAACATTGGGACTCAAAAATATGTACCGTATATACCTGTGTGTAGTTCGAGTTTTTAAGACCAAATTTTTTGGCAAAAAATTGGGGGTCGACCTCTAAACGAGTAATAGTTTCGTTATGTTGAAAAATATTTACCAGTAACTACCAGTAAACAATGGAAACGATGCACCACCAGCTGTGAGTGTCGGTACAGTTGCCAGGGCAGATATCTTGCGTCATCATAGCAAGCCCAAAGTAGCCAAATGCATAAAGTATTCATTTTTTAATGTTTATTTATAGATACATAAGTTTTTGTTCATTACATTTGAAACATCAATCTTTGTTAATTAAATTTGAAACAAAAGAAAACTACGATACCGTATTTCTAAATACCGGGTATTTTCATTAAAATGTTACATCACAAGTATATTTGACCTTACCTGTGACTGAATGAATATATTCTCAGAAATAAATATGGAAATGTAATATTTTTGCTGAAATGATTATACGTATTACAGTGGAAAGTGGGATAAAATCATGACGAAAACAATGACTTTCGCTTTCTTTCGTTGTTCAAAAAATTTTACCGTAATCGCTTTTCGAATGGTTTTCAGTTAAAAACTGTTGTATTACAATAATATTCTATCCTAATTCACTTGAATAAATACTACAATATCATATTTCTGAATATTTTCATTAAAATCCATCAAAATCATTTTCCTTGTCAACAGCACCAAACAGCTACTCCCAGTCCTCTCCTTGAACAGCATCGTCATATGGATCAACACCATCATCAGCCATAGGATCATCAATATCTTCATCCTCAATCACGCTCTCATTAGCCTCATAATCCCACAACAAGTCATCTTCTGTTCCATCAAGAGCATTCGAAATCCCACATTTCTTAAAAGATTTCACCACAATTTCTGGTCTGATTGCGACCAGGGCTCTGCCGTATCAGCTAGACGGTACACGTGTTTTTCGAATGGTTTTCAGTTAAAAAGCTGTTGCATCACAAGTGAATTAGGATAGAATATTATTGTAATACAACAGTTTTTAACTGAAAAGCGATTACGGTGACATCTTTTGAACGAAAGAAAGCAAAAGTCATTGCTTTCGTCACCATTTTATCCCACTTTCCACTGTAATACGTATGTCATTTCAGCAAAAATATTACATTTCCATATCCTCTGAAATAAATAGTAGTTTTGCTGAAACGTAATGTATTTCAATGTAAATTAGGATAAACTGCAGTATATGAAAACAAAAGACTTTACGTAACCTTCCGATGTTCAAGATATGTTACTCGTTTTTTTAATAGTTTTCGGTTAAAATACTGTTATATTAGTGATATTCTATTCATACTGTGCTTGATATAATACATTCATGGAAATGTAATATTTTTTGCTGAAATGACGTACGTATTACAGTGGAAAGTGGGATAAAATCGTGATGAAAGCAATGACTTTCGCTTTCTTTCGTTCAAAAGATGTTACTGTAATCGCTTTTCGAATGGTTTTCAGTTATAAAACTGTTGTATTACGATAATATTCCCTCCTAATTGACTTGAGTAAATACTTGAATGGAAATATACAATATTTTTTTTAAACTACCCGCATTTCAGTGTAAAGTGTCGTAATAATAAATGGTAAACAATTTGCCTTCGGCACTCAGTGTTTCAGGCACGGCGAGCCTCTGTTTATAGGACGCAGAGTGTTTTTACTGAAGGTTTTGTTGTTCCAATACCCTGAAAAATTTGGGTCGACCTATAAACAAGGAATATCATAAATTAACGATTTTTTGGTCAAAAAATCAGGGTCGACCTATAAATGAGGGAGGGTTATAGACGAGTATACACGGTAATTTGAAAAATATTTTTTTACGACTGTGGCGGTCGTATGTCCAGGTGGTCGTAAGTCGAGGAGTAGTAGAATCTTGGTTATCCGGCACTTATAGGGATTGAGAGGTGCCGGATAAAGAGAATTTCCAGTTAGTTGAGCCTCACTCTTGGGATCACCCTATAATAAATCTTACAGTGCATAGTGATACAGGTTGACCTCTCAAATTTGTGTTTCAGAAGTCCATTTTTATACAAATCTGTTCATTTTCATGAGCGGTCCCCAATTACTGTGTTTTTCGCTTGTCCTTGCTCATTGGAGAAAAAATAAAATTGTTTTGAAATTTAAATGCTCAAAAAAAATGATTATATGGGCGGTAGTAGGTAGGCAGCTATCAAACAGGTGGAGTAACTACCGCCTGGGAAGATATTGGAAACATAATGTGCTGTTCATGGTAGACCCTGCTGCCATATGGCAACCAAAAATTATGACCAGGTTGCTGATCTGACTCTTGCCTCATTTTTACAACAATTGCAGGTGGTCTCAATTGTTTCATCATTTGGACAACACAACATGCATATATTGTTTCTCACAATTTTTTTCTTTTAGTTCTTTATCATTACTATTATTATTATTATTATTATTATTACAGTGTTATTATTATTATTATTATTATTATTTGTTTTTTTATTATAAATTTTATTTACTATGAATAATAATATATTTTCGTCCCCTAGGCCCTGATGTGGGTCAGTTACCTGTGCCCGGTGGGCTAATCCAGAAAAAAAAGCGTGATGACTGTGTTTAGGGTGGGCTGTAATCATGCTACTTAATCCCTTGCTCCAGCCACATCGTGATTTTGTTAACATGTAATAAAACCACCAACGTTATGAAAAAAATCATTAATGTGCCTTAGAAAATGAAAATATAATAGTACTATAATTTTTTTTTTTTAATATACCAACTAGTACTGTACAGGTAACTCGCTATATGGGTGTTTTATTTAAGTATTTTTTGAATAACGCCGACTGTTCAATTAATACCAAAAGCTAATTTACATGCACCTATTTTCAAATAACTCAAGACAATTTAAATTTGCCGCCGGTATTCACCTGGTAGCCTGGCAGTGGAGTCAAGGTGATGCCTCGAGGATGCTATAAGCCATTACTTATAAAGTCGAGTCATATCAACATCAACGATTTTGATATTATTAATCATAATAATTATTATAGTACAGTAATGTAATGTAATACTGTAATAAAAGATTATTACTACTAATGATTGAAGATAATGATGATAATGAAGTATTGTGTACAACTACTGTGACGACGCCCAGTAAGCTTCCCACTAATCTCTTTCTCAGTTCACACCATTTTTTTTTCTGTGCTCATTTGCATTATCAAAAACGTCTCGCCTGCCTCTCTAAAGCGCATTTAAAGCTAAAAAGAAAAACATGAAAAACAATCACAATGGACATAGAATTAATGTGATCACCCGCTTTCAGAGAGGAGAGATGCAGGGAGGTTGGTCAAGGTTTGGTTTAAGTGAGCACTGTTCATACCCTGTGTGGTATATGATAGGCCTCTAACCTGCAAATACCATTTATATGTATTCTATGGGAAAATTATGTTTAATTTACGCCTTTTTGAATTGCATAACAGAAAAAATAATACTAAAATCATTACAATATTCTAATATGCTTTAGAAATTAAGAAAATATAAATCTTTAAAATAAGAAAAGGAAGAGCTATGGCGTGTGGGAAGCTTAACATTCGTGAATGGGAGGCAGGAGAGGTAGCTCAGCCAAGTGCTCCTCGGCCCGACTGAACAGCTGAACTGTGTCACATCTCCCAGAGATACAGGCTTGAGCGGAAGGACACTTTGTACGCAGTAAAATATTATACACA